GCCTGTCTGCCTGTCTGCCTGCCTTCCTACCTACCTGTGTTTCTCTGAAAATAAGACAGGGTCTTATTTTCTTTTGACCCCCAAAATAAATGCTTGGCCTTATTTTCAGGGCAGCCTTATTATTTTTGAGGTGCAGGTGGCGGCAAGCGTGGTCACCTCATGGCTGCTGCTGTGTTGTGTGTCGCAGGGCCTGCTGCTTTTTTTGCGGCGGCCATTAGCGTGACAGAAGGAGTGTAGTGGCTGGGGTTGGAGGCGCAGCCTATAGGGAAGGGTGTGAGGGATGCATGGGGCATGTTCCCCCCTCCAGCCTCACTTCACCTCATATTGTTTGCGTGGCAACCAACCAGAGGAAAAAGCAGGAACCGGCTGTGCATGCGTTTAGATATTTTTTGAGGGGCCTTATTTTAAGGGGAGGGCTTATTTTAGCGCATGCGCTCAAAAGCCCAATTGAGCTTATTATCTGGGAAGGTCTTATTTTGGGGAAAACAGGGTATCTATCTGTATTTTTCTTAAACTCACTGAGTAAGTTTTAATATTTTAACATACTGTATGCCACTTTGTGAGCTGTAACACTGAAAGGTGATCTATATATAGAAAGAAGTGAATAACGAATTAGTGAATTAATTACACTGGCCTGGATCCAAAGAATCATGATGGAATCAATTGGTTCATTCCAATGACCCAGAGCCAATTGCCCAGAGAAGGTGATAGCCTCCCCTTCCCTGGATGCATTCAACCAGATAGCCATCTGTTAGGGATGTTTTAATTTGGATTTCTGAACTGAGCAGGAAGTTGGACTCAGTGGCCTAAATTGTCCCTTCCAACCCTGTGATTCCATGAAAAGAAATAACATATTTTCTTTGTACAATGAGCTCCAGCGGTCCATTGTGCAAACGAGACAGCAGTTCTTATAAGAAAAAGAGCAAGTAAAAGTTGTAGTGAGTCATAGAAGAAATGTTCTAGACCCAAGAGTCACTTTTATTATGTGTTTATCACTTGCCCCTCTTCTCTATGTTAAAACTGCTTTCCTTATTCAAGGGGCTACCATATTCAAGTAAGAGAAATTCTACTGCAACTTGGGATAGAAGGGGTTGTGGATAGAAATGAATCTTCTTTGCTTTTTTTTAAAATTGCCATCTGAATAGGGAAGTGAACTGTTACAGGGGTAGTATGAAGGAAAACACACTCCTTACTCAAGCAACATTTCCTAACTTCCTCCAAATTTTGAGGTGCCAGAAGTGGATAAAGCAACCTGGGCCAAGGAATGGACCAACCCACAAAGAAGGGGTGGGTGGGTGTCAACCTATTCTCCAAATCATCTGAAGACAAAACAAGAAGCAATGGATGGAAACTAATCAAGAATAGAACCAACTGGAACTAGGGAGAAATTTCCTGTCAGTTAGAATAATTTATCAGTGGAATGGCTTCCTTCCAGAAGTTGGGAGTTGTTAGGAATATGCTCTAACAGTTAGGTTGGCAATATATAAACCATGTAACAATGCTATACCTGTTTCTTTAAATCATACTGTAAAATGTGATTGGTTGCTGTTTTTTCTCAATCAGTCATAAGAGGGAGCCAGAATGACAGTTAACTCTCTGTTCGTTAGATGGTGGACTGATCTGATGTGAGTGCCGTGAGCTATTGTAAGTTTTGCAACTGTTAGCAAACCTTGATTACCAGACTGATTATATGATACTGGACTATGTTATTTGGATTATCCCTTAACTGAAAGACATTGATGACTGACTGTCTTATCCATGTATGACTTGGGCTGTTTGATGGACTCTGATACCTCTATTTCCATGAAAGCAAAAGCCTATTTTAATTGCAGTGTCTCTGTATGCTGGTTTGTGTGTTCTCCAACAACACTCTCACAAAGCTTCTCTGAACGTACTTGTTCTCCCAACTGGGAGCTTACCTAACAGGAGTCTTGCAACACTGGAGATTTTAAAGAAGAAAATGGGCAACCATTTGTCTAAAATTGCATAGGGTCTCCTGCTTGAGCAGGGAGTTGGACTAGAACACATCCAAGGTCCCTTCCAATTCTGTTTTCTGTTATTCTGAATGTGGGTGGGCACTAGAGATGAAGCGGGGGTGTCATATTTAAAGTTCAGACACCTCCAAAAATTCCACTGTCTTGATATTTCCAGTTTCAGCTATGAAATGTCCAGGCTTGACAAACATCTTTTGAAAGCCTTCCTCCTCAACTTCAAAAGTCATGTGCCAAACAACTTTGGAAATGATATTTCCTTGGTGGTAGAATATGCGGCCTTAGACAGTATCTGCCCAACTAAATCAATCTGGCAAAGTTGGCACAGTCATGGTTCCGTGATTGCCACCTTTCAATGTTCCAGAAGCACACCATCTTTGTAGCAGTGCCTGGCCTCTGAAATGAAGACCCCTCCCCTCAGGAGTCAAACAGGTGCCATTTTGCTGGTCTTTTGTAAGGGCCTTAACTCTTTTTTTTAATGTAATAATTCCATCTTCCATTAAACAGTGTGTCAACTGGGTACAAATATCATTGTGCAGTAATAATCAACATTTATGACAGTATTCATTGCATTGATATTAATTTTCTAATCTTACAATAATATTTAACATAATAAACCTATTCACTTCTCCCTCTTAACATAGCTTCTAATTGGAATATAATAGTAATATTAAACATAATAATCCTAATAGTCATAATAATCACCACCATCATATTGTTTACATCTCTCTCTTAGCCTATTTATATCTCACTGATCACCTCCTTTTATTTCTAGTTTCTATTTTTATTCTCCAACTATCGATAAAGGGCCTTAGCTCTTTACCCAGGCTTTTGGAGAGGATAACTGATAGTCTTTCATTCGTTCCCTTCTTTTCTGGATTTACTTTGTTTGCTAACTGTGTTCCTCTATTTCAGTGATGGCGAACCTTTCCGCGGAAATGTCGTGCGTGCGCACTTGTCAGGGCTGCGCTCATGAAAGGCCGAACTTCAAGGTTCTAGCGCGCATGTGTACCCGATGATCTAGGCCAGCGTGCATGTGCAGGCCGGTTTTCAGCACTGCCGCGCGCACGAAGAGATCACGCTATGGAAAACCCGAACTTCCAGGTTCTAGCGATCAGCTGGCTGGCTCGCATGTGCAGGCCGGTTTTTGGCACTGCCACGCACACAAACGGGTCACGCTCCACAACATCCGAACTTCCAGTTTCTGGCGCGCATGTGCACCCAATAATCAGCATGCACATACCATTTTTTTGGCACTGCTTCATGCGCAAAGGACAGCTGATTGACGTGTGTGCATGCGCGCCATAAACCCGGAAGACAAATAGGCAAGGCCATGCATGCCAGGAGTCATGGTTTTGTGTGCTACTTTGGGCACATGTGCCATAGGTTTACCATCACGGCTGCATCTTGTATTATTTGTGTGTTTCCTATTGTTCTTTGTTTTTAAATATTTTAACAACTGTAAGCTGGCCAAAGATAGTGGGAGGGAGGCTACATATAAATTGAATAAATTATGGTCTGCCACATAGACAGCCAAATGTTTAGGATAAATTTGGCATTTTTATCCACCTATTGAGTCCTTTACTAAGACCTGGGATAAGTAGATATCGTTTGATGGTGTTAAATGTATTGTTGCAGTATTATTAAACCAGCTAATTGCATCTGGAGCAAGCAAAACATTTTTTGGACATGACAATTTAACATAAGTAATGGGCAAAAAAGGAACAAGGGCCTAGAGGCACCATGGAGCTTCCTTGTAGGGGATAAAGCCTAACAATCTTCCCAAGGAGTAGCCCAGCACGCCTAGGGAATCTTGCAGCCACATTATAGTTAACAAGCAGGGCTGCGTTATGGCAGCTAACTAAATACATCTGGATAGCCTTGTAGGAAGAACAGGCTTAATGAACACCAGCTGAATAAGAGCACGCTAGCTACAACCGCTCCTATGAAGTTGTATGCTTGAGAATAACTCAATAGTAGCCGAAACTGGTTATTCTCATGTTCTAGCAGAGAGTTGCACGGGTTCTTTGCTGCTTGAATTCTAACCTTTGTTCTCTTATCTTTGCTTCCTGGAACCTTGCCCAGAAATAGAACGCTTTGGCTTCTGGACCAATTTACCAACTAATCTTCTCTATGTCCCCTTGGCCATGACTAACCCTTTCTGGAATTTGACCTTGGATTATATGTGGACTTGGTAGCTTTCTGTGCACTTTTGCTTGGATTAAAGCATTGCGAGATCAATCCTAAACCTACTTGAGGAATCTGAACCTAGATGTTGGATGGATGTGCAAAATATACCAATCTGGGAACAGAATGTTCTGTTTCCCTCTGGAGCATGTGGAACCTCCTTCTGGTACATGCCATTGGGGGGGGGGGGGAGAGCGCACCATGGAAACAGGACATTCTAAAGCAGGAGTGTCAAACTCAAGGCCCGGGGGCCGAATTCGGCCCCCAGGGTGCTTAGATGTGGCCCTTAGACTTGCCGCTCTGGAAACCGCAAAAGACTGGCCCACTGTGCCTCTGCCAGCAAAAACAGGCTCCTGAGCTCCGTTTTTAGCTGCGACGGCCTCCTGCAAACCTCTGCCAGCAAAAACAGAGCTCGGGAGGGTTGCAGGAGGCTATGACATTCAAAAACGGAGTTCAGGAGCCTGTTTTTGCTGTCAGAGCTGTCAGACTACCACAGGTGCCCCCGACACGAGTGATGTTGATCTGGCCACGCCCCCAGCCCCCGCGAGGTCAAACACAACCCTGATGCGGCCCTCAATGAAATCAAATTTGACACCCATATTCTAGAGGGAAACAAGAGTTTTGTTTACAGAGCCATACATTTGCACATTTCAGAAACTTAAGGCATACGCTAGGACAGTGATGGCTAACCTTTTTGTTGTCGTGTGCCGAAAGCAGGTGTGCCTGCACGCATAATGCAATGTGTGCGGAAACCCCCCATGTACCCCGCCCCTGTACATGACCCCATGACCCCCGCCCATGCGCGCACAACCCCCTGCTCTCCGTGCATGGACACAAGAGCCCCTTGCGCCAAGTTTATGGCCTTGTAGGCCTCCCTGCAGCCTCCTGGGAGCAAAAATGGGCAGCGGGGGCACGAGTGCTGCCCCCCCATGCATGCACACATATCTCCTGCATATGCCCCACCCACACAGATATGCATCAGAGACCCAAAAATCAGCTGGTCGGCAGGAGGCCTGCGTCCATGCGTGATGATGCTAAGCTGGGACCACAGCTTGTTTGCCTGTAGAGAGGGCTCTGCGTGTCACCTGTGGCACACATGCCATATAGATTCTCCATCACGGCTCTAGGATCCTAAAATCTCTTTTTATTCTGGGCCAAAGTCATATTCATTTTTTTCTAAATAGTACCCTAGATATACCCTCCTCGATATACCCTCTGAAGAATCGTGGGTAGCCAAAACCTGAGGGATCATCTGTTTTCTGACTGTGAGACTGTTCTGTGTTTTCTTTCTCTCGGCTTTCACATACTGTATATTGTTTTTGGTCCCCAATGGCCATGGTGATACCTTGCAAAATCCCACCAGTGGCAACTGAATTTTGAGCTGCAAAATCTCGTAGTTATCGTATCATCACTCTTTGCAACCAACCTTGCAGGAATGCTATGGAGTAAACAGATGTGCAAATGAGAAAGTTGACACATTTGTGGTGGTGCCATTTGAACTGACTCAAAGAAAAAGTAATGACTAGTCAAAGTTATGCTAATAACAGTAAAAGGAATGACTTATGGCAATGACAAGCCCTAAAGAATCTTTCAGGCAACCTTAAAAGAAATGAGAAAAAAGAGCTTACCTCTCCCTGGAAACTCTTCAATAGTGGAGCTACCTGTTTGCGTAAGTCCTGGAAGATAAAAAGCAAACACATAGATCAAGAAATGGGTCATTAAAGAAAGATGGCTAACAATGCAACTGTTTGAATAAAACTGAAGTGTTTTCAACAGCTATTCCTATCTCCTTTTTTTTTTTTTGCCAATTCTATCATATTAGCTGAAGGCTGATTACGTTTTTAATCAAAACATTGCTATGAGCAAGGAATGTAGCAAAAATCCATTTTAACTGGCTTATGCATCTCGCCTGATATACAATTATGGTTGTCCCAGAGGAGGGGAATTAGTTAACAAAAGCCTCTAGTAATATTGAATAATCAGTGAACTCCTTCAGTCTAACAACTCAACTGAAACAGAGCAGTGAATGACTAATGGAATGTAAAACACGTGAAGCCACATGGAAAGGGATCAAGCTAGACCCCAGTTTGAAGCATAGCCTCCTTTTGATGTGCAAGGAATTGGACATTATTTATTTAATGCGCATGTAAATCTCAATGTAAGAGAAACACATGGTTTTAGCTTGCTTTTTTCCACTGTATTTATCTTCAAAAACCAATTTTTCAGCAAGTTTAACACTCCTGTGGCAAAAGTTGGTATCACTGTATTTATAACATACCATTACTGTGTAAAATACACACACACATAGACATATAAACACACATACACATATAAACATACACACATGCTTCCCAGAGAAGGATGAATGGAAAGAATTTCACTCTTGCTATTGTTCATCCCACCACCAATCTGCTGGCAGCTATATATCCAAATTTGTCCCCAGCAAGATTCATGGTACAATTATCTCTACATGGCACTAAATATTTGAACAAGTGCTAGTTAACACAAATGACTGGAATCATTCACGAGTATCATAAATTAAATTAGTAGCATCATTCTTCAAAATATGCATTAGTGTTTGTTAGAAGGAAACGAACAACAAACAAAAAATCAAGGTTGACAGAACGGGAAGCTTGCTGGGAAGTGAATAATAAAGCCAGTAATAAGAGGAATATACTTGTTCATAAACAGATACCCTTCTGTGCAAAAAACAAAAAAAAAAACCCCTCTATCCTAAATTACAGTGACAGGTTTTAGGGACAAACTAAATATAATACATTTCTCGATTTTAAAAGCTGTGGCTCCCACAGCACCAAAAGGAGGACTAAAACGGGGGTGAAATACTTCAAAGTGTATATCTTTTTAATAATAACCCCAATATATAACAATCCCAATAAATTTTAATCAACCCAAATAATAACAGACAGTAAAATAATAATGACAGTAAAATGAGGAAGGCTTAAGAGTCTAAAAGAAGAACTGTAAGAACGAAACAGATCCTCTGTATCAAACAAGCATAAAATCATCTTTGTTCATTTTTTTATTACATAGCACAATTCAAAATGTGATAATATGTAGTTTTCCTAGAACTATTTCTAGAATTTTACAACACCTTTAAAAATACACTTCATCACTTTGTATGTTTAATTTTCCCCAACTGAAAATATTTAAAGATATGCAAAATGGGAATTATGATTGAAAACATGGCCATAATTATTGATTTGTATGTATTATTGTATCATCTCAAACTTGTAGTCTTTCAGAACAAAACAGGAATCATTTTTCCCTATGTTAAACCAATAATCTCTTTCTACAGTCAGACTGCTGATCCATTTCAGCTAGTATCACATATTCTCAAGGGTACAGGTTCTTCGATCCTTGCTAGGCTAAAAGAGATAAGAAACACCAGTTTGGGACGTGGGCTGGAGTATCCTTATCGGAGCCTTTTCTGTGGCTCATGTACCTACTTTGAGTAAGACAAAGTAGAGTGGTGCTTAAAAGTTTGTAAGGCTTTTTTGAATGTACAATATTTCTGCACAAGGATGGCCTAAAATAACTTTCCCACCAATGCACCATCTAACCACTGCAATCAAAGCCATACATCTTGTTGCCG